GGGGGGGGGTTGGACACAGCCTCAGCAATGTATTTTTTAAGGAAAGAAAAGTGATAATAGGCCACATGATGAGACAAAAAGACGGCCAAGTTAGGAACGACGTATGATCGAAGGGGCTAAAGAGAATATGAAAGGAGAAAGACGGGAGAGCGAAAGAAGATTATAGATAATTCGTTGCGTCGCGTGGCCATACCAGGCCCATAGGATTTCGGTAAACGCCGATACGATCAGAAAAAAAGGGATTGCAAGTACTCTTTGACTTCCCCGAGCGCAAGCAAAGAAGCAAAAGACTAAAGACTTTGAGAGCTCTGTTGAGACGAGTCTGGTGATAAACTAAATGGGGACAGGAATTGTACCAGAACTGTCCTCTTCTGTCTCTGATATTTATTATTTTTACTTCCATTGTAAGAAAAGAAAAAAAATGTATTACAAAACATAGAAACACCCCCACAAAAAGAAAAGATTTTAAAATCCGTAAAAAAATATATTTAAAGAAAAAAGGAAAGGTATAAACTGAACAAAAACAAAACGTAGAAAAAGCAAACTATTGACGGAATATATCATGCATTACAACAAATACAATAAAGGAAAATGATCACATTTCAAAAGATAAAAAAAAATGAGAAGAATGAAAAAAGGCGGAAAGATCGAAAGAAAATACAGCAAAAAAAAGCAAAAAGAAAGAGAGACTAACCTGCAGGAAAGATGTGGAGTCGCTCTCCTTGAGCACCTCAATGCAGAACTGCAGAAGTCCCGTGGTCCTTTGCAACAGTGCAGTGCAGTCTGATACCTGCTCCTTCAGGCTTCGAACCTTGAGCGCCTTTTCTTCAGCCACGTTTTCTAACAACTCGGCCTTTCGCTGCTTGATGACCTCGATGAGTGCGTCGCATTGAGCGATGACGGTCTTCTCGAATTCCGCACAGTTTCCCTGTGGAAGCAGTTGACAAAAAAACAACGTTGTTATGTTTTACCTTAAAGTGTGGGCCCACGTTTTCAAGTTTCCAAGATTCAAACTTCAGCTTTATCGTTCCGCATGCATTGAGTCAAATTTATGAATTACCTTGTGCACCAACCAAAGAAAACACAAACAAAACAAAAACAAAAACAAACAAGAACAAACAAAACTGCCCAAACTTTAAAAGGGGCCCATATCCTTCAAGCGTGTGTTTGTATGGAGGTGGGAGTGGATGGGATTTCTTTCCATAATATTTAACTATTTTGATATTTATGCTTGTTGTTTTGTTTATTACTATTATTTTTAGAGAGGAGTTGGCTCTTTGATATACCAGAGCAGACAAGATCAAGACGATACAGACGACTTTTCCGGGGATGCAGACAGATGTGGAAATTGAGTTTCGATATGATCAAGAATACAAGTAGCCGCTTGAAATTACGTTCCCGGGATCTGACGAGTTTGTGTTTATATGTATGAAAGAGATGGTATGGCGGTAAGTGGACACAGAAGATTCTCCCTCGTGCTTTGAATAATCGGTTGGCTTTTGATAACAGCTTTTAAAAACATAACAAGTAAAACATAAGTTTTACGCCCCCCTATGAAAATTTGGCTTACTTTGATATGTTTTGCATAAATAAATGCTGACATAAGTTACCAAACATAACATGTATTGAAATCCTAAATATCAAATCATTGTATGTCTCTAGAAGATATCTTAAAGCAACACCACTGGCGGTCAACGTGATTGTCAATCTACTGCTCATTTTCTATTTCCCCTTTTTCCTGTCTTTCCACGGGAATCCTTGCGTCCTTGTATTGACAATACTGTCGGGAAAATAACCCCTTGCTAGAACGCGTTTTGGCAAATTCAGCATAGTTACAGAATAGATCGTGGTGTATTAGGGGTACCTCCATGGACTTTGAACACAGTGTTTTAGAAATCAGCTCTCTTTGCTGTGAACATTTTGTCTTTTTACTTTTTGAAAAATGATATTTTAAATTTTCATCATTATTATTGTTGAAGCAAGATCGCTTTCGAAAGGCACCTACTTTGTCGTATAAACGAAGCCAAGGCAAGCTATAGTGGGTCAAGGCGATCTATATAAGGTGTAAATCCTCTTATAATATTCCGAAATGTTAGTGAGAAAAGGCATTAATTTGATCAATAGGTAGTGAGCAGAATATATAGGGAAAATACAAATCGATATGGCAACAACCGATTAAAAAATGAGTTGTCAGAAATCCATAATTTTGGTCAACAGTTCCCATTAGGCCGCAAAGTCGATAAGCAACCAGTGCTTTTTATGACTGTGTGGGTGGATCGTCCGGGGGGACTCGAAGCAAAAATGGGGGCCGGCCACTCAGTACAATCCATTATTACAATAAAAAGTGCGTATTTTGTGACATTATTCCGAATGATGGAAACAAGTATTGTAATACGCTGACAGTACTTTGTGAGACGTGTAACCGTAGCGTATAGGCTACTGATGAAGTGGCGCAAAGGTCGGGAGTGGAGTGAAAGAAATAAAATGAAAGACGAAAGACCAGATCGCCTGTCGTACCGATTCAGAAACCTCGCTTACAGCGGTTCGAGCAAATGCAATATACAACTACATGCACTTTCCTATCCCAAAGAAGAAAGAGATCAATAAACGAGTCCCCCTTGCCCTCCCCTAAAACAAGCAAACAAAAATAGCAGTTTTCTATGTACGAGAGAGGAGTAAACCAACTCAAGAATTGCACATAATATTGGGGATAAAGACGAGAGATACAAGTAATAGCGGAACAAGAGCGAAGTCGTAGAAACTACAGAGGGTGACATCTGACCTCTGAAAAGAGCAACGGACAGAGCAAAGAGAATGCAGATGACAGGCGCATGAGGCAGAGAGCAGAGGATGACGGGAAGACCAGAGGCTGTGGGATTGTGGGTCAGAAGGGGCTGAGATTGGAGATTGCGAAAATGGAAAAGTTGGCCTCGATGCATTGTTCTAAGGGTTGAGGAGGGGTTGGGGTGGATAGGGGGTAGAGTTATACGCTCGTGTGTTTTGTAATTTAAAAAGAAAAAAGAAAAAAAAAAGAAAACGCTATGGTTTAGTTTAGAAAACGCTCACATGAGAACAGGGGTGGGGGTTGATGAAAAAAAAAAAGAAGTAATATTGTGCGAAACCCCTGTGTGATGGGCTGTGTTGGGAACGAAGAGGAAAAGCCCTTTAAAAGATGAGCGAGCTGGGTACATCGATTATTCGGGGAGAAGAGACAGAATTATCTCCGAGAGTAGAACTAGGTTTAGGGTGTAAGCGAATTAAGGTCTTAGCTCCTCATTTGTGATGCGTTGAAATGTACTCCGATCTCAGGCCGGTCCTCTCATCTACTCACAGAGAGGCCAATGGGTCGAAGTGCAGATTCAGAGTCAGGGACGTGCGTGAGTAAGGAAGAGACATCATAGTATTATAGAAGAAAAGAAAACTACTTGAAAGGAGTGAGTGTTGGAGAGGTCCCGGGGTGGGGTGGAGTAAATAAAGGAAGCAAGAGAGGGAGAGAGAGAGAGAGAGAGAGAGAGAGAGAGAGAGAGAGAGAGAGAGAGAGTGATAGAGAGAGAGAAAGAGAGAGTGAGAGCAGAGAGAATGGGAGAGAGGATGAGAGAGAGAGAGAATGAGAGAGAGAGAGAGAGAGAGAGAGAGAGAGAGAGAGAGAGAGAGAGAGAGAGAGTTTGTGTGTGTTTCTGGGTTTCGAAAGCTCGAGAGAGAGGTTGGGTACGGGTTGATAGGGAGGCTGACAGGCTGGGGTTTCACGTAGAGATCATACGAGACTACTCCATAGAAAATGATGTCCTAATTTTGGTGATGCAAATTAACCCGTGGGTGAAACAACATTCGCTGATAAAGTTTGGAAGGTGATGACATTCGAGTAAGGTATTTGCTTTCAGAAATTCCTAGTCGAAAACATCTCTGAATTTTTCATGCATCGATGGTTACAGTTTTGAGTGATGGCGTTACTACTACCAATTACGCAGAGACCAGTGAAATACATTCTGTATCTGTACAGCTGAAGACCGAAAGGAGTGGAGGAAGCTGGTGGCCAAATCTTCAAAAGCGCCCCGACGGACATCCAGTTTACGGGATAGGTTAGGGAGAAGGTGATCTGTACAGTATATTTCATACTACCTCGACGCTGCACAGCGCATTGCATCTTTAAACACTATGTTCGTGTTGAGTTTCTAAGTGACTCTACACAGAAATGGAAGTATTATTATAACTTTTGATTTTTGTTGTTGTTGTTGTTGTTGATGTTGTTGTTGTTGTTGTTGCGGTTTTTTGGCGGGGATGGGGTGGGTGTGTTTTTTATGGCTTTTTTTTTTACCGAGAACTTCGTTTCCACCTTTTGCCCATCTTGTTTTGAATTCGTGAATTTATTCACACGGGTAGTGTCATGTGCTCTGCTGCAGTAGTGTCCTTTTAATATTTTGCGAATAACTTGATTTTGCGCATTTCTTTTTAAAATATTTGAAAATAAAAAATTCACGTTGTGTGCAATGAACACCACCGGTATGCAGTAAATTTAAATAGTTTTCGAAAAAAGAGGGGAGGGGGGGGGAACAGGACAGTTGTTTCAGCGTTATAACAATGAGCCAGGCATTCTTTAATTAGTAATAACAGACAATGATGAAAAAGAACGTAAAAATCATTTTTATGACGAACGTCATTCACTTTTTCAATGAGGAAAATATTGTTTTGGAAAAGAAATGTAGGCCTTAATCTAGACAAGTTCAAGAAAAAGTGTACTCACGCTGACACTGTCTGCCATTTTTTTCAACCGTTGAATAAACTCCGTGCCAGACTTGGCCTTCTCAGATAACGCCTGGAGGTTCTGGGACAGTTCACTCTGAGAAAGACAAAGAAATAATTTGATTTAAAAGAAAGAAACAAATTGACGACTGGTCGAATGCATTTTATCACAAACAAAAAGCCCCATTACAATAGGATGCATACACAAAATAACTGAAGATAACAAGTAAAGAGCAGTCTATGCAGCCGGTTAAGGTTGTTGAGTGGCAACACGAGAACAAATTAACCTTTTGTAAAGGAAAATTTAGAAAAATAGGAAGGTTGTCTTGAAGAATAAAAAGATGGAGACGACAATAGAACTCCCAGCAAATCCTCAACCCATGGCAAGAACGTACGGGGCAACTCGTAAGTAACTGAAATACAAAGAAGATGTGAAATGGCTTCTAAATAATGAGAGTGTTCGTGAAATAGTGTATACAATAATAGGAAAGTCAAAAATAAAAATTTTAGACACCCCCACCCCCCCAAAAAAAAAAAGAAACACGATCCGCCTACAATGTTCAATAAAATGTCAAAGCTCCGCGTCCAATCGATGTGGTGTAAAAGGGAAATGAAATCGTTCACCGAATATGGTCAGTTATTTCTGCATTGATGCTGCATCAAACAAATGGCTCATTAAAAGGGCCTACACTCTGAATGCAAAAACAATTTGGACACCGCTGTGACATAAAATGCGCACTCCGACAAAACATTCTCAATCCTTCGAAATAAAGAGGAAAATACACAAAATGGTCAGAGCCTCTGGCTAAATCAGAATTCTACTCTACATTCGGGGTCATGTCGGACACGGAATCATTCATGCACGCATTCAGTAATGTTATTATTCCGTGCGCAGTGCTGCATGCTTTGATGCGTACTCCCTCCTTGCTGTCGTCCCGGTTTTGCGTTTTGTCGTGTATTCTCGCAGTACCGAGTAACCGATACCGCTCTTGGGGCGTGCTTTATTCCCTGAGTAATTTAGTATCACAAACAAACAACGGCATTGGAGACGGCTGGCGGACACACGAGACGCGTGCATAACAATAGACAAACAAACACGTTAATGAGGACCATGCTTTGACGATACGGACATATGGCCAGCCTTGTGGTCAGTGGAGCTATACGATGGGAGAAAGACGAAACGAAGTTTACTGTCTACAATAATAAGACGCATTGGGTTGCTCAGTAGTACATTGACCATCGACGTCCACACATATGTACTTCGGCCAGCTGCAAGTACAGGGCTGCAGGCACCTTACTTATTGGGAAATGTAAAGTTTAACCCCCCCCCCCCCTCAATGAACCCTCTCAAGGAAAGTGAAAGCCTTTTTTTACCTAGTAGCTTAAAGCATCGTAATGAGAAATGAGTTCAGATTGAGAGTTGAGCTCTCTCTCTCTCTCTCTCTCTCTCTCTCTCTCTCTCTCTCTCTCTCTCTCTCTCTCTCTCTCTCTCTCTCTCTCTCTCTCTCTCTCTCTCTCTCAAAAACTCACACACACACACACACACACACACACACACACACACACACACACTCTCTCTCTCTCTCTTTCTCTCTCTCTCTAATTTATTCATTTCACATTCTCCATCTCTCTCTTTCTTTCTCTCTTTCTTTCCTTTACAATCGGCTACTCACTTCCCCTTCATCTTGATCTCTCTCTGAGTCTCTGTGTCTTTATGTCTCTGTCTCCGTCTCTGTCTGTCTGTCTGTCTGTCTGTCTGTCTGTCTGTCTGTCTGTCTGTGTGTCTGTCTGTCTGTCGGTGTCTCTCTCTCTCCCCGTCTCTCTCTCTCTCTCCCCCTCTCTCTCTCTCTCTCTCTCTCTCTCTCTCTCTCTCTCTCTCTCCTTTTCTCTCTCTCCCTCCATTCATCCCTCCCTTTTCTTCTCTTTCTTTCACTCCTTTACAATCAGCTAGTCACCTCCGACCAGTCAAACACTTTGATCGTCATTCACAGCACACACACAAAGGTTCCACAGGGGGGACAAGATACTTCTACAACTTCAAACATCCTCCGTATCCCCTTATCCCCTATTTGAGCCTGTACTCTTTCGCTCGGTAATTATTGGATGAGCTGGCCCGGCCTTGGCTAAGAGCTGAGCACGTTCATCGCCCAGAGAGACGTATCGGGTTCTCGTGACCCTCAAGTGACGGCTCCTGGTGGTAGCGAGGCAGAAAGAAGCACAGCTTCTCCCACTGCACGAAGCATCATCAATAAATAGGAACCCTGAAACCTGTTGCTCTATGCGCGGGACCATTTAGCTGAATGCGTTAACGGTCACTAGAGATGACCTAAATAAGGAATGTGGCTGGAGTTACTGCTCAGTCCCTTTGTAAGATCACGCACTCACGTGAGTCAGAGCAAATACGAAACTGATGTATCAGAAATTCATAAGGGCAAGACTCATAAGTCAGTCATTTGAAAACGGCGCCGCTCAGTCTCTCGTCTATGCAAATGACTAAGGCTGAGAAAAGAATTTTTGTGCCAGAATTCTATAGCCGTGCCCTGGTGGGCATCAGAGAGAAAAAGGGAGAAAACAGAGCCCCGTTTTATAAGTCTTCGCGGTTTATCCAAATAGGAGGAGTTTATTTCCCAATATTGGCTAGTAAACTTTATTTCATAAAATGATTGATTTGCCACCATGAAACAATAATTATCTCTTTCTTGAAAAGGACACGTGCAGATTGAGGTCCAAACGCGACAAGTACAACAGGATGTCTCTCCTTGTGTGGCGCTGGGGACATAAAGCTCAATTGTCCTTCTTTCCCATTGTTCCAATTCGAAGCTTTAAACAAAGACCCAGAAATTGAAGTAATGAAATTTGCCCAGCCTAACATCAAGCACAGGCCCATAAACGTAGCTTTCTCTTTGCACTGATGAGACAAGTGCTTTGTTCATATTGGTGAATAACAATTTTTCAAAGGGGAATATTCACTGGCAAATAGTCGGAGACTAAAGCTTAGAATAAAATAGTACCAGAGACATACTATGTGGTGTCTTGGTTAGGCTGTTTCCCTTCTACGCAAAATGGTGTGAGTCCAAATACCACTAGGGGAATATAATTCATTGAACATCTTCATCTTTCTACTGACAGCAAATATCCCTCGCAATTGGGTGTAAGCCCTTGCGGGAAGTGTCGGGTCAGCCCACCTCATTAAAGTTTTAACTTGAGTCGATGGGGGCGTGAAACTTTTACAATTTTTTTTTTAAAGATGAAAATAAAGCCTTGCGCCTTGGTCCCAAACAAGTGCTTGTCAGAGAGCGACTACGCTTCGCGGCGACGCCTTGGCTCTATTGCTAGTCTCCCATGAGCGATATTTCCCCCAGGGCTAGAAGTCTCATTTCCTTTGGTAGTGTCCCAGAGAAGAAAATTGTGTTCAATGGATGGTACTATCTTATTTGCATGAGAATGACGCAAGACAAGGTCCTGTGGAGAGATAGTATTCTCACAGTCACGGATATTGTGGAACATCGAATGGCTCTGGTATGAAAAAAGGTCAGGGGCATTGCCCTTGTATATTTTTTTTCAAAATAAACGAAGACCATCAACACAATAGACGGACTATAAGAGAGTTCCTTCGCTAAGATTAATCTTCAGTGTCAAATGCATAATCTAACTTCTTCCTCTTCCGCATACAGCTTTTATTATTGTGACATGGAACGGTCAAACGTGATGGCCTGACTTGTGGCAGAACAAAAGCAAGCACGGAAACCTGAATACTCGTTTTGACAGACATCAATGAAAAATGTGAAAGAGGGTAACACGAGCGCCTGTCCGCGCATACGTAGAATCAATCTTGCACGTGCGCCCAGCTATCGAGGGGAGAGAGGGCGGTCGACATGCCCCTGCTGGACTCCATCCTGTTTGAATTTGCCTTTTAACCCTTGAACACCAGATCTCAAAGTAGCAAGCTTACGTTTTCCTATTTCAGGTTCATAAAAAAACACAACCTTTTTTTAACCCAAAGTGAACTGTAACTCCCAACACGCCTCAGCTAACTGCTTGAGCTTTTCTCAGGCTCAGTATACACCCTTATTCCCAAGCCTAGGATTTTTCCTTAAGTCTTTCTCTCCTCCCATCAAAGTCCTCGATTATCTGCCTCGAAAGTGTCCATCGATCTTCTATGGAGTGATCGGCCTTTGCGAGAATGAGTGATCTCCCCTGTTTCTTTGGAACACGAGAGTCAATACGACCCCAAAACTGACCGTAAAAGACTCGGTAAACACCCAATGTCTCAAAGCTTCTTTCAGATCCCCCGTCACTGCAAACGCCGCGAAAGTGTGGAATGGAGGAGGGGACGGGGATGAAATATCAAAATAGACGGAAAAGGGCTATGCTAGGCACGGGGAAAAGAGCTGGGATGATTGGAGAGTTGACTTGTGAAAACAAGAATGAGTGAAGGGAAACTGACGAGCTGGGACATGAATTAATGAAAATGCACAAAGACAGTCAGAGAGAGAGAGAGAGAGAGAGAGAGAGAGAGAGAGAGAGAGAGAGAGAGA